TGTGTGCCTTAGCACAGGCATTGCTAGGAAGGTGTATTTTATTCTCAAAGCCATATGGAGTGATCAAGTTAAGAATACTTCTGTTGGAAAAGGCAGCGTTATGGCATCAGGTGTTGACCACGCTCAAGCATGAGACAGTAGGCAAGGCCGCTGCTTGCATTTTCAATGTGACCTTCCATGAAAAAGACCAGAAGAGTAATTGTTACCACACTACCAACCTTCTCTCAAAATGTCCAGTTGTCATGGGCTAATGACTCGTAGGCCTAATTGGCTAGGCATCTGACTGCTGTAGCTTACTGTGGAAGGACGTGGTTTGAAAACCAAGATGTGTGCTCTCTGCTTGAACTGCAGCAAAGCCTCAGCTGTGTGTTCCCAGGTCTGAGGCTGGATAGCTGCAACTTGACTTAAGCAATGGAATCTTAGTAGTTGTGATAGAGGGAGGCATAAGAAGAGAAAACATCAGTGTGTGTTTTAGTTTAGGTGTGTTTATGCATATAATATTTTCCATGTGATCTCATGCAGATATGAAAAGGTATTCTGAAAAATACTTTCGTTGTCTTTTTTCTAAGGTACACTCCAGGTACGTGTACGCGCTTCACTTCAAAGTGTTTTATTTTCCTCAACATGCTTTGCCTTCATTTGTTAAGGTGTTCAGGCATTAATTCTCTAACTTTTGATTCTGTGTGAACTACAGGAACTCTGTTTCTAGAAGTTCATCTGTAAATCTTGATATGAATTTAATGAATTTGAAAAATCTTAAGGGATTTGGTAGAAGCACAGGCTTTAGTAACATTGTGTGCTGTGATTGTTATTGCAGACTCTGAACTTGCCTTGATGTACAATGACTCATCAGTACTGGAGAATCATCACTTAGCTGTGGGCTTCAAGCTGCTGCAGGAAGAAAATTGTGACATCTTCCAGAATTTGACCAAAAAACAGAGGCAGTCATTGAGGAAAATGGTCATTGACATTGTGAGTTCTGCTTGAGAGTCCCTCTTCCATACTGCAAGTAAATTGAATAATAAAGGACAGAAATGTTTAATGATCAATTACATGTCATTAGACCCGTAACCAATGAAGTAAAAGTCTGAAGTTTTATTGCTTCTTATCCAAATATGAATAGTGGGTTCTTTTCAGTTTCAATAACCATCTATACCTTTTCAGAAGGTATACAATCCTGCTGCAAGCCATTTTTGTACTGACATGTGTGTCAATACACCATCACAGTTAGAAATTTGCTACTGAATTGATGATGAATTTAGGGATCAGATCATTCTAAACAATTCTGAACAATCATTTTGTTGTATTCTTAAAATAACCAAAATGAAAACTTACTATTTTGGACAGTAATGACAGATATACAGGACTCAAACTTTTATAGTGTATTCAGACACAGGAGATATGGGTTCCCTTCACGTCTGTTTATTTATGTGTTCAAATTTTTTTTTTTTTTAAAATCAGTAGAATAATTTACGTAATATTAATTTATTTGTTTATTTCAAGGTACTTGCAACAGACATGTCTAAGCATATGAATCTATTGGCTGATTTAAAAACTATGGTTGAAACCAAAAAAGTGACCAGTTCTGGTGTCCTACTTCTTGATAATTACTCAGATAGGATTCAGGTAAGAAAATTCATCTGCAAATGGTCATTTTTATTAACTTACTTTATAACATTGGCCTGCCCATTTTCCAGTATGGGTTAGATCAGCTGTCCTTTCTCACACTATGACACCTTCCCTCTACTCCCTTGTGTGTTTCTTATCTGTGGAATAGTCTGTTAGGTACTGAGTGACCCTCTGAGAGAGTAGCGAGGTGCTACAGTACTTCTGGACTAAATGAGGCTTTGGCCTTCCCTTCAAATTATCAGCACCTGATTGGTCTTTCTCTCAAAGACTTACTGTTTCTTCTTAGAGCAGAAGCAGCAGAAGTGAGGTAGTTCATGGCTATTACTGCAAGTGTGAAAAACACCCAAGCACAAGTTTTTGTTGAGAATAAATCTTGCACTACACATCTTTTCAAGATTCTGTTTCACAGCCACCAAAAGTGTAAATGGAAAAGGAGCTGTTTTTCTCCAGTGTAATAACACCGCAGGTGTTCAATCTATTTTAGGTTCTTCAGAATATGGTGCACTGTGCAGATCTAAGCAATCCAACCAAGCCACTGCATCTTTACCGCCAATGGACAGACAGAATAATGGAGGAATTTTTCCGTCAGGGAGATCGGGAAAGAGAGAGAGGAATGGAGATAAGTCCCATGTGTGATAAGCACAATGCATCTGTAGAAAAATCACAGGTAACTGATCTGAGTAGTCAGTTAAATAACACAGTATGACATCTTAACAGAAAATGATGGTCCATAGCCAAGTTTTTATTAATTTCTGAATGCACTATTTCCTTTTTTTCCCTCCTAGTTAATTAATTCAGCTCCTGCGTAGTGAGGGGAGCTGAGATTTTTACTGTGAAAACATAGTGCATGGCAGTGTATTTGCTGAAGGGATTCCATCACTGTTGTGACCTGCAATGTAGGATACACATCAGGAGCGTATTGTACAGCTGCTCATTAGGGTTTACTTCAAAAGCAGAAATTCAAATAAATACAAAGCAGCTGTTTGGCTAATTAGGTACAGTGGAGTTGTTTGGAATGAACCATTCATTTGAAAACAAATCCTTTCCAAGTCCTTATCCAATATCCTGAATCAGACTTGTGAAATATTAAAAGACACTATTTATTACATAAACCAGCATGGTTTCCCTTCAGCCACCTTTAAGGGTAGTGCTTCTAGTGTCTATTCTTAGCATGATATTTCTCATACTTTGTGTGACTTACAGGCATAGTTGCTTATTTCTTTGTGAATAAGAGCTCATCTTAATTTTGTGTTATTTGGAACAGGTGGGTTTTATAGACTACATTGTTCATCCTCTGTGGGAGACATGGGCAGATCTTGTTCACCCGGATGCCCAGGATATCTTAGATACACTGGAGGACAATCGAGAATGGTACCAGAGCACAATCCCTCAAAGTCCCTCTCCTGCACCTGATGACCAGGAAGAGGGTAGGCAGGGCCAAACTGAAAAATTCCAGTTTGAACTAACACTGGAGGAAGACGGTGAGTCAGACACCGAAAAGGACAGTGGAAGTCAAGTAGAAGAAGACACCAGCTGCAGTGACTCCAAGACTCTTTGCACCCAGGATTCAGAATCCACTGAAATTCCTCTTGATGAGCAAGTAGGGGAAGAAGTGGAAGAAGAGGAAAACCAGACAGAACCTTGTGTGGTAGAAGACCATTCCCCTGACACGTAACAATGAAGACACAGTCTCTTTCTCTCTTACCCTCTCCCTTTCTTTTCCTCTTTCTCTCTGGTTTGTTTTTTGTTTGGTTGTTTTTTGATTATTTTTTTTTTTTAATTAGGTAATGGTTACCAAAGTGTATGTCATATGCTACAACCATGATCACAACACGCTGTCATCTGCTAGGACGTTTGTTGATCAAAACTGACCTTGATGACTCAGTTTGGCACTCAGGAATATTGTAATCAGATTTTTCACGTCCATGGCATCAGAAAGCAGGGGTGAGAACATCTATAAACTACATTTTAATAAGCTGTCCATTTGGCAGATTTGATTAAATAAAAAAATGTTTTCAGAGGAGTACCACCTGCCAACCGAATGCTGGCATGCTTTGATAGTTTTTGAATTCATTGTATTGCACAAGCAAAGCGTTGGATACCGTTCATCATGAGAGGAAACAGACAGAAAATAAACTGAGGTTCCTACTGGAAAACAAATGCACATAAATGATGGGACACAACATGATTCTGTTACTGATAGGAAGATGAGCTGTGGAAATTGCATAATTTTCTAATTTCAAGTCTTCCTGATACGTGACTGAAAAAAGTGTGACCCAGTGGGTTGCACTAATCTCTGCATTTTGTATAGTATGTAAAAGAGAGAACTTTTGTAGAGCTTACTTTTATTATTAAATGTACTGAGGTATTATATTTAAAGAAAAACACTTTCAAACTTCATCTGCCACTGGTTATTTTTTTTTCCAAAGAATAACTTGCAAGTTTTCAGTACAAATCTGTGCTACACTGGATAATAATTCTAGGGTTTTTTCTTTTCCTTCTGTTTTTTTGCACTTAGAATCTCATGGTAATATTAAGCTGTAAAAGTCTATTATGTATTAGTGAGTTCCATGAATATCTTTTATGTTACAGAAAAATCTTTCGGTATGATAACTTTTTTATTTGTTTTTCATCACATTTTTCCCAAATGTGTTAGAGGAACTTACATTGTGCTTTTGCCCTCCTACTGGCCTGATCCTGCCAATTCTGTCTTACTATAGAAGTGGCCCTAGTGAAACCAACTGGGACCATTAAGATTAGGATTTGTAGGACTAGAACCCATAAGAAAGGCAGTAAATTGACATCTGTATACAAAAGCATCTCTTCTGCTTTACTAATAAAATTCGTCCTCTGAAACATGGTTTCCAGACCGTTTTTGGCTGGGAGCTATAGATTCCCAGGCAATAAAGAGCCAATAGGCTAATACAATGTATGGAATATTTGTTCTGGCAAAAAAAGCATTAGTTTAGTATTTTGAATTTTGACTCTCTTAATTTTTTATCTGTGTCAGCTATCTAGTTAAAACATTTTCTAATCTGCGATGTGTACAACATAAAAATAATTATTAGAGTTTTTTCATGTCTTTGTGCAAGAAGAGCCAGGTCAGTCTTTATGTTTTTAAGTAAATGCATCATGAGAGTTGTAGTTTACTTGACATTATTTCAGTCTCATATCTTTTCATCCTTTATCCAGCTTGTGCTGAGGGGATCCTGCTCTTCAGTTCGATTAGTACTGAAAGCTTCTATAACTTGTGAAGTTAAAGGGAGGTAGGAGTTTGTGTTTGTCATTTTCCAGTCCTGAAAGAAGAAGAAATTTTATTTCCTCCACTTTACTCTTCATGAAAATTGTAGTTTTGAGTGCAGAAAATGGGAAATAGTTGTCTAGGGAAGCTAGCAGACTCCCACTCTGTAAAATTCTGGTAAAATGACAATATCAAGATGGTTTCTTAACAAAAGAAGATAGCAACAGCCATTATTTCCCCTTTGAATTCATTTTGTGGTAAATTTGCAGATATGAATACAGGGGGGGGGTTAAGTGTCTGAGATCTAGAATAAAAAACTGTTTAAAAATGTTCAGCTTTTAAATGCATTTTGCATTTTTCTATATCCAGGTCATAGTTTTCTCTACCTTTAGCCCTCACAGGGCCTTAGCACAGAAGATGCTGAAGGAGGAAACAGAATGAAGAGAACTCATGGGGTTTTTTTTCTGTTTTTTACTGTCTTTTTTTGTTCTTCATCATTTCTTCCTGAACCTGATCCATCTGAAAATCCTTTCAGTCCCCAAGAGTGCCTGGAACCTTAATAATGGAAAAGCAATATAAATTCCAAAATAACCAATAGGGACCTGAAAAGGTTTTGTATCTGCACTAATTGAAAGTAAATGAAAAGAATAACACCATATTGTGAATATACACCCATACATATGGACAATCAAATGATAGAAAATTATATCATTTCTTAGAGCTGGGGATATAATGCACTGTACAATCTTTTTTTCCTCTTTTGCCAAAGTGTATTTTAGCATTGCACACTGCTTTGAAACAATACAATTTACAAGTGGCTTTATGTGTTCTGTATATTTTTGCCATAAGAAAATGCAGTGAATGGGGATTGAGTCAGGGGAAAAAAAGAAAATTTAGCTTGCTTATAACAGTATACTTTAGCTTGTGAGTTACTGTACTCAATAATGCTGTATTTGAATTCTTAAATTGTTTTGTGTCATTAAAAAATGATAATGAAAGAATATAGATAGAACAAATAGCATTCAGAAGTTTAAAAAACTTGAATGAAATGGATTTTACAGCAAGCTTTGACAGTTTTCAAATGCATTATTTATTTTATTTGTGCCATGCATTTTTCTCACCAAATGACCTTACCTGTAATACAGTCTTGTTTGTCTCTGTTTACAACCATGTATTTATTGTAATGTACATACTGTAATGTTAATTGTAAATTATCAGTTCTTATTATAACATCATCCTTGTCAGGGTGGTGTTGCTATATTTGGAAACTCTTGGTGAGAGAATGATTATTGTGTATACATATTCCTTGTACATTTTTTTCTCCTGTAATATATTCAATGTCACCTTAGAGCTTGTTTATGGAAGATTCAAGAAAAGTATAAAATACCTAAAGATATATCAATAAAAAAAGCTGCAGGTCTTTGGTCCCAGGGCTGTGCCTTAACTTTAAACAATATTTTCTTCTGTTTTGCTGCATTTGAAAGTAAGGTAGCTGTGGGGCTAGGGCTGGGCATTTCTATTATAGTTTTAGTTGCTAACTGATGGGGTTACTCGTAAGAACTAATATGCATGATACTACAACGAGCTTTCATTCATGGCCCTACTGGAAGTTCAAGCTTTTCCAGACTTCTGGCACTATAATTGTATTGCTTCTCTGATTAGCTTTTTACAGGCTATCATCAGGGATTATTGCAGCCATTTTTTGCTCCTGAAAAAAGAGAAGCCCACAAAAATTGATGCTGTATTTCAGCACTGAATTTCACTGAAACAGCTTTGGAAAGCATCTCTAATAAGTGTTTGATTTTAATGCCTGTTGGGAAATGGCATAATCAGAATTAAAAGGGTATAACCCATAGACTTTTACAGTCATCTGTAATATCCCTTCTTTATTTAGTAGCAGAAATTTTCACTGTATAAACAGAATCCATAAAGTAGGATGAAAGACAAATTTAATCTTGGAAGTGCTTTCCGACACCAATATTAGTGTTATAAGCGGCCAAAGTTTTATTTTATATAGATGTATCTAAAGCTTTGTGCAGGTGTGTAAAGCATAACGCACTAGATCTACAGGAGAGTGGTAAACCTTTAGATGTTTTAATAACACTAGTATTAAGTTTGCAGTTTGGACTGAGCATCTCTTGCTATTTGACTTGTCACATTGCTCCAGACTACTTAGAGCTGATATCAGTGAATTTGCCAGAGCAAGGTAAATACCTCTCCTCCATTCCAGCGATGCCCAGCCCTTGTAGCATGCGACTTCTTTGTGAAAGGAGAGATTCTTTTTCAAGGAAAAACAGAGCCTCCTTTTTGACACAAACTGTAGATTTTAGCAGCCCTGGCCCAAAGGAAATCGATTGCTTTTGTTTTAAATGGTATAAAAGGGACACTATTAACAACAGAAATCCTGAACAATTTTTTGTTATTGTTTTGATTTTTCCTTTGGGTATGTCTCGAGAGTGGCAACTTGTGTGAACATTGCACATGACTATTCTTTCACTGGTTTCTTAGCCTCTCTTACAGCCTATGGGATAGTACTGTACATCGATACCTTCATATGAAATTTTATATGCAATGGAAATAAAAGCATGGGTTGATTCTGCCTAGTTACTGTATTTGATTTTCTTTTGCAAGTTAATTTTTTTCATAGACATCCCATAGTTGTGACATCTTAAGAGAAAGCATATTTCTGGAATAATTTGATTACTGTATTTTTGTCATCATACTGTTTTGCATAGATAAAATAAATGTGGGAGCAAATCAGAAAAGTCAATCAAATGTGGTATTTCGTAAAGAAGTCTAATCCACAAAGGTGCTATACAGTTAAATAGAAAGGCATTCAATCTCAGCTTTCAGGAAATTTTACCATTGCCTTTAGTGGCAAAAGCAGCCTGTCCTGAGAAAATAAAACTTCAGCCTTAAAGAAACTAGAAGACTACAGATTGCCTAGAGGAGCATCTAGGGATATCACAAAGAAAAAACAAAAAGGAGTATCACAGTTAAATATTGACCAGACAATCTGAGCTGTAAAGGGATGATAAAAAGAAATTGTTTTTTAAACTAGAATTCATGAATGACAGCTGTTATCCTGAAGAAGAAATGTGGTCTTAAAGTAGGTCCAGCTCTTGAAGTGGCTTTCATGCACCTCTCTTTGATCAGAGTGAGGGTTTTGTTGTTTGGGATGTTGTTTTAGTTTCCAGTTGAACACAATTCTATGTCTTTGGGTTTGGGGTTAGTTTGCAAGGAGTACCAATCCTTAGGACTCCTTTTTAATCACACTGTGGTGGAAGAGGGGGCTGGTAAGATGAAGGATGCTGCACTGAGCATGGTGGGGCAGATAAACCAGGTGGTACCTGCTGTTGGCAGGCTCATCCTTGCACGTTCCCAGCACGTTTCCTTAATGGGAAAATGGTTTGCATACATCATGGCTATTACGAAGGGAAGCAGGAATCCCAAATTCTTGTTGGCACTACTAAAACCTTTTCAGTAAGGAGCTCAGGAACCACAACAGTGCACATGGTGAGCCTGAAGCTGGCAGGATTAGCCTACTGCTTCCTGCATCCTCTGGTAGCACTTTGTCAGTCTCTGTGTATGGCCGTAATGCGTCAGAATAGGCGAGTTTCAGAGCAAAACCAAAATGCATCCCCTGTTTCACTGCAGTCAGCTGCTGCTATAGGAGTTGAATGTATTTTTGAATTAATGACTCCTCTATTTCCTAATGAGACAAATAGTCTGAATAGCTGCAGCTTCGTTCGCTTGGTCTCTACTGCATTGAAAATGAAAGTCACGTCTGCTAGCACACATAGCGTTTTCTGGGATGACCAGCCCAATTTTTCTACCAGCTGTGAATAATTTTGCTTAGTTTTTCCAGGACAAAAAAACCCAAACCAACCAAAACCCACAGAAGTTCAAAGATGTTCTAAAAGCCTTTAGTTAGTTCAATTTAGTTTAGCTTGCAGGATAAAGAAAATCTCCAGCTTCATCCTGTCAAACTGGTTGAGAAACCTGCAAATGTAGTAACAGGGGGGATAGGAAGTCCAAGCAGAAATCAGAGTGACAAACTGGGAGCAAAACCTGGGCAGGAAATACCCTCCAACTAACATAATCTCATCTTGTCAAAGGCAATCCCATG